CACAGGTTGCAAGATATCGCGCAAGCGGCTGAGGAGTTGCATACGGATATGAACACGTGGAGGTCTGTTGATGTTGTCATCCATCTTGACTACCATCGGCAGCGACAAAGTCAATTTCAAACTCTTGAGGATTATCGCCGGAAAGTGTTGCAATAGAGTTCTATTCGTGACATGTTGTGAGAGTTTCGTTCCACTGATGGGAGTTGTTTGCTCTTACATAAGATGGAGAGAGAGAGAAAGAGAGAGAGAGAGAGAGAGAGAGAGAGAGAGAGAGAGAGAGAGAGAGAGAGAAAGAGAGAGAGAGAGCAAATAATAATAGATAGATAGATAAATAGATAGATAGATAGATAGATAGAGAGAGAGAGAGAGAGAGCAAATAAATATTATGTTATTTTCTTTTAATAAAATGGAGATGGATTGTACTTTGTGCTTATTATGCTTTCATCATTTTGCACGATCTTCTTGACTTGAATGGTGTTTTTCTTTCTTTCTTCTTTGCATTCTTTTTTTTTTTCTCYTCTGTCTCTGTCTATCTGTGTCTCTCTATCTCTCTCGCTCCTCTCTCCCTCTCTCTCTCTCTCTTTCTTTCTCCTTTTTTGTGTCTATCTATGTGTGTTCCGTTTTTTGAATTTGTTAACAATGCTGAAATTTAGCAGTTGGTTTGGGTGTGAATTTTTTTTTTTTTTTTTTTTTTTTTTTTCGGGCATTGCCCGCACTGCCTGCACCGCGAGCGCTTAGCTAGTACCCTTTTAAACTTCTCTAGTAACCGTTTCGAGTAGCTTTATAACCCCCAAACACCCCTGGGTGACCCACCACTGAAATGGAAGCTAAGGCCGGATTCTGGCCTGAGGCCAGTTTCTTTTTTTGGGGGATCCTTCCCTCTTTTTTTAACCTGCCTGGTTTTGCTGGGGGAGCTCCCCCGGCCCAACTGGCCCGGGCATGTCTGGCCGGGCAACGACAGCCTAGATTATTTATTGTTTGAATAAAGCGGGAAGAAGAAAAGGAGGAGGAGAATTGTCATTGGTCCTTGCTGGTGTACATTTTCTTCTTCTTCTTCTTCTTCGTCTTCTTTTTCATCTTCTTCCCTTTGCCTCTCTCTTCTCTCAAGTTCATTCATTTCTTTTTGCAATTCGACGGTATTGTGCTTTCTCATGAATTTGTACTTTGAAATTGGCCAGGATCATAACAACCATATTTTTTAATCTTTTGTGCATGTGGTGAGTAGTGGAGCGAGGCTCACACTCAGGTGTTAAGCAGCTGCATGAACTGCAATTCAAGGATGTTGGCTGCACACGGCTAAGAAAAGGCCAGCGGGGCCCCCTCTGTGCTGCCTGGGGCACTGCTGCCACTCCCACGTACAGCATCTGCAAAACAAGGTCACAATGAGGCCGGCGGGAAGTCCCCTGGAGGCCCATGGGGCCTCGGGGAAGAAGCACTCTGTCTGCTTGTAGACATAACAATCTGGCGGTGGCAAGAGGGGCGCCTGAAGAGGCAGACAACAGTCCAAACTCTCATCTTTGTGGTGTCAGAAGTGGTCATGCCTTCACCTTCCTAATGGTGCTATCACCATCTATCTCAGACTCGGTCAGATTAAACCAAGCCGAAGCCTGGTAATGGGCCCGGTATACATTTTTCATCAATTGAATCAGATGTACTTGGGATGCTGGACCCGGTTTCCAGCAGGTGTGGCTCCCCACCAATAGATTCTAGCACCCAACAGTAGGTTACTATGTGAAGGTGCTCTTATCACCCCCCACTGAGTACTCTGAGGCTGTTTCTTTCTTGGAAAAAAAAAGAAAAAAAAAAAGAGTAGGAGAGGAAAGAGAGAAGTGACAAAAAGAAAGAGAAGAAGGAGAAGAGCATACGAGTTCGGAAAGAGGCGCAAAAGATGCGATCAATCCAAATCATACTTGCAACCGCACGAGCCGCACATTCGTGCGGAGTTGTGTACGGAGTTTTGTGCGGGGGGTGCGGAATCGTGCAGGTTTTTTTATTTTAATTTTTATTATTTTATCTTTTTTTGGGAGGGGGAACAGGGGCGTATGACAGAAAGATGGGGATATGGCAAGGAGAGGGGGATATGGAGAGGAGGAGGAGGATGTGGACGAGGAGGACGACGAGGATAGCGAGGACGAGGAGGAGGAGGATTCGAGATGGTGGAGGAGAAGAGATGGACGGACGGAAAAGAGGAAGGGCAGGAGGAGGAGGACGATTGGGAGGAGGAGGAGACACGGATGGCGAGGAACGGGAGGACATGAGGAAAGGGAGGACACGAGGAAGGGAAGGAGGCGAGGAGGCATGGAAGATGAGGAAGTACGATGAGGAGGAGACAAGGAGGATGAGGAAGGGCAGGAGGAGGAGGACGAACAGGAGGAGGAGGAGGAGGAGGCGGAGACGAAAAGGAGAAGGGAGGAGGAGACATAGAGGAAACACCAGCCTCGTCGCATGGTGCGGGCTGGTACTATGTGTATGGAGGGAGCAAAGTGGGTGTCTCTCTATTTAAACACTTGTCGTCGACGGGTTTCCCAGATTTCGGAGTCTGGCGTGCACGGCCTTAGCCGGAGGCTGTATTCTCGACGCTCAGCGTCGAAACGGGTGCGTCTGACAAATATTGCGGCCCGATAGGTGTAATACTGCTGACACTCATAGCACTTCCTTCGGGGCCAGTAAGGGGCTATCACATCCCAAGGGACGACCGTAAGATTGTGATAAGGGAGAAGGAGATAGAATGGAGGGAGGTTAGTTTCCATGGCGACGAATCTCGATGTCACGTAGTACTGGTGGTTGCGGGTGTCGGGGTAATCCGGGATTCGATAATTTTGTCCTATGGCCCTCTGGAAGTCCCATGCACACAGTCGATCGTTCTTAGTTCGGTAGGGCTGTGTATACGCCCGTACGTATACGGGCCGTACGTACGGGGACCCGGGGGCCCATACAAGCCGTACGTACAGACTTCCGTACGACCGTACGCGGTCTTGGAGGGGGGGGTCGACCCTGGTTTTCGGGCGGGTGGGTGTCGGGTCTCGTGGAGAGTCCATCTGCA